CTCTGTACACAATACAATAACCAAACTAGTTTGTTATTATAGGCTAGGCTTGTCTTAGCAAACAAACCTATTTGAAATTACAAAGAAAGCAAGCGACCTGCACACAATTACCTTGAAAAAGCTGGCGACCTCACACCGCGCCATAGGGAAACTCGTAAGAGTTCGTTCGCTGTCGCTTATTCTTAGTTTGCAGCAATTGCTTTTTCTTCCTGGCAGCTTTATCTTGTGCCTTCCTGATTTCTTGTCGGCTTCCGAATCATCAGCCAATTCGTCACTTTCATATTCCTCGACGACCAGCCAACCCGCATCACTTTTATTGGCCAATTTAATCAACTTCTGGCGCTTATGTATCAATACCAAAGCTTTTTTAGCGTATTCCAACGCCTGCTCGCGATTAGGATTTTCTTTCGCAAGATGTTCTACCATGGAAACAACCAAATCTTTGACTTCAGCATTATAGATAAACTGTTTGGCGTTCGCCTTATACTTAAACTTTAAAGGCGTCAGCCTCTCGTTGTAATTTCCTAGTCGACGCTTGAATGTCGTTCGTTTCAGGTTGATCATGGTTCGCCGATTGTAAAGAATTCTCGAGATTGCTTAATCGTGTATCAATATAACTTTTTAATTGTTCAAAGACTTGCCCAACTTGACCATCTGTATTTGGGCTGAAAGTCGACATTTCTCCAATAGATAGCAATAGACTTCGAAGTAATGAATAAGAAAAACGTATTCTGCAGTTCAGTCAAGTGTAGGTTGTAGTTGCCGAGAACGTGAAGGATTATTCTATCATAATCACTTCCTTTTATATTCTATACTGATGCTCACAGAAGCATGACGTTTCGCGTCATGCCTTCAAACAATAGGAAAATATATTACATCGAGCGGACCCATCCGTGATGCGGGCTTCGCGGGGGGTAAGACGTTCTAATTGTAAACAAATATGGCTACGCGTATATGACCCATCAGAAGGTATGCTGAAACTATTGCTTTATAAAATACTACCTGTGTAAAATTTATATGTTTTTGTTACTTTTAGCTATTATAAGAAACTTAAAGATAAGATTTAAGTAACCAAAAACTTTATTTCGAGTGTTATTTTATTTCTATACTCTGTTTAATTTGGTGTTTAAAAATGGCCGTCGAAATGTTGTAAGAGAGTGTTAGCGCGCACTGCTTCCTGATAAAAACCCAATGATTTCCAAAACCTAAATTATAATTTGTTATTAAGTTATGATGAAAACTTTTGCGTAGACAAAATTATAGAGTGATCAAATATGAGACAGATAGGTTTTGAACCTTTCAAAGTTCGATGTCGAATTGACAGTTGAAATAGTACCAAACTCCAAGCTGAAATGTGCAACTTTATCGTGTATATTTTTGTCAATTTTGTTTACTGGCCTTTGTTAAATTCACTAGCAATGGCTCGACATAAGTTACAACATACAAACTGAGCAGAGCCCATGAAAAAGCTATCCATACCCCTACAGTCATTCAGCTTCCTTGCTATTTAGAAGTGCATGGTTGCCCATTAGTCGAAGAAGAATTGCTATTGTATGCGCTTGTTTACACTTCCTTTCCTAAAAAAAGTCTACAATATTAAGGCTAAATAACAGAAAAATATGAGCCAATAATCCATGCAGTTAAAAATATCTATCAAATTAACTTCAAAAATCATGATTTGAGGAATTATATCTATTCAGGCAACCCATAATTTAGTGACAGGTCTTGGCAAGGTGAAAGCTGAAAGGAACCCTTAAGATGGGTGTACTACAAAACTATATTGACTGAAGTTTTGGAAACATTTAACTAAATTTTGAAGGATTGACTTGCAAACTGTGATTCAGTATCCTGGAATTTTACACTTCTGGAGAAGTTGTGGCTCTGTTAGTGCCATTTCTTTCATTATTTATATCTTGCTTTTAAGCATTGCTCGCTTATAAAATCTTTCAATTCCTTAGGGCCCGTTTATATGATCCCGCCTAGATGGGACGGGACATTTTCATCCCACCAGGACAGGATACTCGCCTAGTGTTTATATGGACAAAATACATTGCCGGGATGAAACCATTCGGTGCTTGACGTCATATTTTTGTTGCAATAAAGGCATTTACGCATGCCCAAAAGGGAAAAATTCATTCCGCCTAACTGGGATGAAGTGTTTATATGTGAATTTTTCATCCCGGCTAGGCGGGATAAAGTGTTTTTATACAGGAATTTTTCATCTCGCTTAGGCAGGATCCCAGCATCTGTTGCCGAAATCCAGTCCAGGCGGGATAAGTGGTGGGATCATATGAACACTCTTTAGCATTTGTATTATGAGCGGGATCTCGGTAAGCATCCCGTCCCGCCTGGCCGGGATCATTTAAACAGGCCCCTAATCTCATCCCATGATACTGAATCACAGTTTGTAAGGCCCCTTTTACATGAGACCAGGATGAAACCAACCTGGAAAATTAAAATTGCATGTCAACATGTTTACATGAGACCAGTATGAAAATCACAAAATTTTCAATTTATTCCCCTTGCCAGGCAATTTTCTATTTTAAATGTGTTGTTCACTTGTTCCAATGTCAACATTCATTCCAGTCTGAATTCATACTGGTCTGAGTCAGTCGGCTTGGTCCAGCAGGCGGAATGACTTGAGACCTCATGTAAACATCTATTATATATAATCTAATGACCAAAACGAAATGGTCCCGGTTAATTGACTTCGTTCCAGTATCATGTGAACTGGACCTAATAAAATCCTTCAAAAGTTGGCTAAATTTTTCCAAAACTTCAGTCAATATAGTTTTGTAGTACACCAATCCCAAGATCTGTCACTAAATTATGGGTTGATTGCCTGAATAGATATAATTCCCAAATCATGATTTTTGAAGTTAATTTGATAGATATTTTTAATTGCATGGATTATTGGGTCATATTTTTCTGCTATTTAGCCTTAATATTGTCGACTTTTTTTAGGAAAGGCAGTGCAAACAAGCGCATACAATAGCAATTCTTCTTCAACTAATGGGCAACAATTTCTAAATAGCAAGGAAGCTGAATGACTGTATGGGTATGGATAGCTCTTTCATGGGCTCTGCTCAGTTTGTATGTTGTAACTTATGTCGAGCCATTGCAAGTGAATTTAACAAAGCCAGCGAACAAAATTGACAAAAATATACACAATTTAGTTTGCACATTTCAGCTTGGAGTTTGGTACTATTTCAACTGTCAATTCGACCTCGAACTTTGAAAGGTTCAAAACCTATCTGTCTCATGTTTGCTCACTCTATAATTTTGTCTACGCAAAGGTTTTCATCATAACTTAATAACAAATTATAATTTAGGTTTTGGAAATCATTGGGTTTTTATCAGGAAGCAGTGCGCGCTAACACTCTCTTACAACATCTCGACGGCCATTTTTAAACACCAAATTAAACAGAGTATAGAAATAAAATAACACTCGAAATAAAGTTTTTGGTTACTTAAATCTTATCTTTAAGTTTCTTATAATAGCTAAAAGTAACAAAAACATATAAATTTTACACAAGTAATATTTTATAAAGCAATAGTTTCAGCATACCTTCTGATGGGTCATATACGCGTAGCCATATTTGTTTACAATTAGAACGTCTTACCACCCGCGAAGCCCGCATCACGGATGAGTCCGCTCGATGTATGGCCGTTTCTACGCCCTCTCTCCCTTCGCCCTGGTTTTTATAATTCAGGCACGCGATTAACCCGCGCTCACGTGCACTCCACGCTTACGTTTCTCGCGCATGCGTAGACGGATGTCCACCCTGTTTAAAGTTCATCAATCATCGCGGACGCTCACCAACGATCAACGATCTTGAGTGGGTGGTCATTTTTTTGACTTATCTCAAAATATGGCAAGCAAGATTTGAATTTTAAAAGACATTATTGCCTATTTAGGAGATCGTTTCATATACAACAAGCTTGAAGCAATTTTGTTTGAAGAAATGAGAAGAATTGGTTTACTACGGGAAGTCGGGAAATATAGGGCAAAGTTTGCTTTGAATATTTTTAAAATGTTTACGAATTTTGTTGCTTTAACTTTTTGCGTAATAAAAAACATGAACTATAGAGGCTCTAAGTTTTATAAATTACCGTTTAATTTGAGAAAAAATCTTAAGTTAAATTAAAATGTAAAGGCGAACAAATTGATTTGAAGACTCTAATGAAATTACTTGACAATTTGTTTTATTTGTATTAAACTTATCATGTTTTGTTAAGTAAAAACAGTTTATCGGCAAAATGTAGTTTACTTGAATGAACATTTCAAATCATTTTACGAAGCGTTTCAAGTTAAATTTTACATTAAATCAAAGCTCACAAAACGCAAAATAATATACCTACAGTATATATTTCGGAAATTTATTTTTGTATAGTTAAAAGTACAAATCTTTCAATTACTTTGCAGTTTTGTACAAAATATATGAAAAGAAAAATTTTAGACTATCGTGTTGTCATGGCAACACTTGAGCGCGAGCCTGCGTTCAGTGCTGGTCATTTCTGAATACTTCATGTTTAATGTATATATGGAAAATATTGGCGAGGGGTTACTGCATGCATGTATTTCTAGTACTATTTTTAATAATGATCATCGCAAGTTGTATGGAATGTATTGCTTGATGTAACATCCCTTGCAATGCAATCCTGAAATTTTTTTGTCAACATTGAGAGACAAGTTCCGACACAAGTTGCTTAGTGTAACAGCGCCTTTAAGCTTTCGTGTTTCGACATTATAGCTACTTTTAATACATGTATTGATATTAAACATATTGAATCAATATTTTAAGTTTCAAGGCAGTTGTACCAAAAGTTATAGGCGCTAGCGCATCATAAGGTTTCGTGGTTTTGATGGCATGCAACAACAGGCACTGCGTACCTATTTTCCTCAGTATGCAGACATTATGTCTGGTATATTAATAGGTTTCACATTTCACAGACCTTAACTGTGTTTCTCTTAAAAATATTGTCTATCTAAAAACTAAAAATTTATTATGAATAAATCTGGTTTCGGTTCAAAAATTTTCAAATATTTCTTTTCTTTATTAATTTAATTCTATTCCTGATTACAATTAAGCGCGCAGTGGCGGAAATTTTGACCAAAAAGAGGGATGAAACAGCCTTTTCGTGTGCAAATGGAGGAGGGGGAGGTTGTCGAAAACTTGAAAGTTTTGGGAAGATAGGAGGCATAACCCCCCCCCCCCTCAAACTGGAATAATAAATTTCCGCCACTGCTTGCCCGAGACGAACGTGCCACGCTCAAAGCTTATAATAAATTTCATACCTTCACAAAAAGATCCATTCCATTTAGAAGTAATATGACATTTGCATAAACGTTTGCCATTTCGGTTGCTACAATATTGGTTGAAACCACAAGGAGAAATAGGACATCCATCTAGAAAAATTATGGAAGACAGGGACCCTTTACACTAAGCTAAGCAAATCCGAGACTCATAATTGCGCAATTTTTACGTGTCAACTCATTCAATTTTAAATCAAATTTAACAACACAAATCCCGTTTGAACAAATGTGAACAGGAATAATTTATGCGCTGCTTCAAATTCACAGCTAAGACATTAATAATTTTTGTCATGAATTAGGTCGTACGTTTTTCAAGATCAATCAGGGCCGCCAAGAGGGGGAGGGGGGGGGGCGGAATTTCCCCGGACCCCACCTTAATAGGGCCCCAAATTGAAAGCGAGAGACTAAATTTGAGTAGGATCTACGAATTGGTCAGAGCATTGTTGAAATCGAGGGCCCTTACAGTTCCTCCACATGCAGTCTAGCTAAGGTATAGTTGGGTCTAGCTTAAAAAAAATGATGTCATGGCGTCCCATGGAAGATTTGCCTCAGGCTCCGCGAATTTTCTCGATGGCCCTAAGATTATTGAAAGAAACTTCATTTCGACAAGCGTGCTAAAAACAATTAGCACTTAGGCCATATTCTGTGGTGCCACATCATTCAATTCCGTTGTCCGGGTTCGGGCACGACTTTGAAACAAGAAAATAATTAGGATAAATGATACAAAGTCCAAATCCGTTCGTTTCCATTTCCAAAACCTTCGGAAATACAAGAAATCAACATCTTTCGCAATAGGCAATTCCAGCTTTTAATTTATTCGCGCAGGGAGTGACGGGAAGTAAGGTAGCATATTTCTGATTATGCTTAAAAAATTCAATAATATAGGTCCGCTGTGGCGGACATACATCTACTGAATAGTAGCACTGGGAAATAAAAGGCACTGAGCAGATAAAAGCATAGATATGCACTCTGACCTTTGGAATCGATTTCTGGCATTTCCAGAATCATAGCACCTGATTCGTACCCAGTCCCTCAAATGAAGATTGAACAAAATAATGGTGCACCATGGGACATCATGCAACGCACACCTCCGTTCACTGATCTATATAAATCGTAATTGACGACTGGGTACGAATCAGTCATAGCACAAGCACAACGTGACAAATGTCGCATTGTTGACGTTTTAAAATTGTATTTCCGGTTGGGATTAGCTCACAGTCGGAAATGGAAATTTTAATATACCACCAGAAATGGAAATCCTTAAATTTCCAGAAATCGAAATTTTTATCAGATAAAACTTAAAAGATACAAATTTGATGATACATGCTTGAAAATATAAACACCCACACAGTGTTATTGATAATTATTCCAACAAGAATATTGCAATAAAGATACGTCCAAAAGGACCAAAGTTATGTTCGGCGAAAGGTATGGCTAGCTTATATTTTTGTTCAGACAATTGCGTAATTTGATAATGAACGATCTCGCTTGACTTTCAAAGGCCATAAATCGCTACAATGTTGATAATGACTAATACTATTGTGAGGAATTACTTGATATTGTTTCACTGAATCGAATGGTGGTAACATATGTCTTCAAAGCATGCACTGAACTAACCTAGCACTGAACCGAAGATATGAACATAAAAAGTCGTCGAGAAAGAGTTCAAACAATTGCGTAATTCGCTAACATACCATTACGTTTGACTTTGAAAGGCAAATGATTAAAACTATTGTGCATTGAACCGAAGATATGAACATACAACGTCGTAATCCTCTCGCGCAGTTAATATACAGCAATTCTTCGTATTGCACTCCTCTCGTGTTATTGACAAAACCATTTTGTTGAGTACTCGTGTTATTGACAAAACATTTATAGACAACAGCGGAACTAACCGTAGATAACCGAATTTCGGTGGCAATGCATTACATTGATATGTCATCAAATGTGCCTTTTCCCGACATACACCGACCTCTGGTCCTGACGATGTTTCTACTGACTAAAAATCAGTAGCTGCAAAAAACTGCCGACACAACCGAAATATTTCAATATTTACAGGTATAAGCTATCACACGGCCACCACTTTTATTTTTTCTCAGCATATATAATCAGCAATATGATATGATTCTTCCCACCCCGCCCCCAAGGCATAAACTAAAAACTGGAATTTCCTGTTAATTGCCGCCATTTTTGTTCAGGATACTTGGTGATAAACAGTATAAATGGCGATTTTCGCGTGCTCACACTTGTTCTTACATCAAGTTTTTAGATGACCCATTTGTAAAAATGCGTCTTCTGACTCATGTTTAATTCATTTTTATGGGAAAAATGGCCCTCTTATCGTCTCTTATCGTCGAGGTTGTTACTCGGCATTCACAAATAGCAGTATGATCAAATAAGCTCAAGTGCGTTGTCAGAATATGGATTAAGAAAGTGTACCTTCATTCTCTGGTATCGATATTATTCATAAAGAAACGACATCCGATAAAACTCCACCGGTAAACAAAATGCTGAGACCTACGCCCATAAGTGCGCCAGCTAAAATCACGGAATTTCCACGTGTTTTCATGCCTTTGTATAATTTGCAAATAAGAAAAGTCGTATTTCACTGCATAGGTAAGTTTTTTGATTAATTTTTTAACAATTATTATTTTTAATAATATGTGTTGTATAATTATATATTGATTGCATGCCTTCAGTCGCTCCCGTTATAACGGTTGTGTGACTTCTATGCCATGGTTTCACAAGTGTCAGGTGATCTGATCACGGTACTATCCACAAGAAATATTATGCATTTTGTTGATCCAATTAATTTTGTTTATCTTTAGACACCATGATATCAACATATGCTGCTGGACTACTGTCCTTGGTGTTAAATATTGGTCGTTTTTCCATTGTATCACTGTCATGTGTTATAAACGACTTGTACTTTTCAAGATACAACCTTGACACAATTTCATACTTTCAATGGTATTCAGGAACTTTTCAAGATATCCGTAAGTTTCCAACGTATTTGGAATATTTAACCAATTCAGTTCTAGATCACGTTTCTTCCCGTCAAAATATATCTGTCACGTTTCATCTGAATGAAACTGTTCTCGTTCAGCATAACCAGGGCACTTACCAAACAGATAGAAATTGAGGGTTTTCTTGTCAATATTAATTTTATTTCACTTGGTAGTAAGTGACGGTAATATATCCAATTGAAAGTCTTCATTGATGCTGTTAATGTCAATTGATTGTTACATCGTCCAGTTCAAAACCTTGTAATGCTTGTTCTAAAAATTGCTTGTTATGTTTTGTGAATGATATGACATTTTGCTTGATAATATTATTGTTCGAATTGCATACTCCATTTGTTTTTCCGAAATCCTTTAAAGTATTTGCACGGACGCGATGAAAATAGTTCCTAATGCTGTGGTTATTGTATTTCACGCCAGAACCGATCCCTGCTCGTGCTGGCATCAGAGCTATTAAAATAGCATTCGCAAGCTTTGATTTGCCGATATAAATATTAAATAAAAAGATCGATCCCAAAGCGACCTGGAAATTGATAAATTCTCTCGTTGGTAAATCTCACAAATCTAATCATGTGACCGAGATTGAACTTGAGGCAAAAATACTGTTGATGGCAGTGAGATAAGTGAAGCGTTTATTAAATATTTATAAATATTGGGCCCAAATTTGCTGCTGAGTCAACCTCCATTTCATGTAACAATGTACATAAGTATCTTAAAAATAATAAATTAAATGATTCGTTTTCCAGTTTTGAGAACGTCTTAGTCGATAACGTTCTGCTAAGTCTGAGACATTTACAACCTTCAAAAAGTACAGGTTTGGATAATATTTCTGCCAAAATGTTAAAAATTGCTGGAAACATTATAGCTCCCTCTCTAACAAATATATTCAATCTGTCACTTTCCACTGGGATATTTATAGATGATTGGAAAAATGCACGAGTAAATCCAATTTATAAGGAGGGAAGTCGTCGAAATATGGGAAATTATAGACCAATTAATTTCAATATTACCTATATTAAGCAGAGTATATGAGAAAGAAGTTTTTCGACAAATTTATTAATATTTTAGTGTAAATTTACCTTTATCGAATTTTCAATCTGGTTTTCGCCCAAGGTTATACCACTTTATCGGCTCTAATCTAAATGTGTGCTAATTGGTTTGAAAATATGGACAACGGAAAACTGACTGGTGTTGTCTATTAAGATATTCGCAAGGCCTTTGATTCGATTGATCATGAGATTCTTCTTGAGAAACTGAACTTTTATGGAATTACTGGGGTGGAATACGATTGGCTCCAATTATATCTCAATTCCTGAACTAACAAACTTTTATAAATGGTTTTCTTTCAAGGAAAAAAGAAATAATATATTGACTACCTCTAGGGTCAATTCTAGGTCCCTTGTTGTTTTTAAATTATATCAATGATTCACCAAAATGTCTTGAATCCACAATTCCGTGTTTATACGCACATGATACAAAAATATTTGCTTCTATACTGAAGATCTTATCGATAAATTAAATTCTGACTTAGTTAATATAATAGACTGGTTAACCGTAAATAAACTCTAGTCACATGCCAAAAAATCACAAAGTTGATGCTAATAGGATCCGCACATAATTTGAATGCTAAAAGCAATAATAGTATTATTGAGTCGCTTCTTTCCCAAAAGTGTCTAGGGGTTGAACTTCACAATAGGTTAATATTTGATATTCAAATTGAGAATTTGGGCAAAAAGATATGTCCGGGAATTTGTGCCTTAAGAAGAATGAAACCCTTTGTTCCTTTGCGTTCCTTAATTAAAGATGTTATACAAAGCACTGATTCAGCCATATTTTGATTATTGCTCGCCTTTGCGGGAAGATCCATAAAGATAAATTACAGGTGCTCAAAAATAGAGCTGCTCGAGTTATAACAGGAGCAAGTCGTAAAAGACCCCTCTTGGAGACGGAAGTAATTAGTATGCAAGTCTAATTTGGCGTCGGAAGTAATTAGTATGCAAAATTATGACGTACTTTTCCTGCCCAAACCCTAACCCCGGTTCAAACGTGACAGGTAGCGCAACCAATGAGCGCGGGCAAGCCTGGGTCAAATGTGACAGGCAACGCAATCAATTAGCATCACAACTAGTTTCTGAAATAGAGGGATTAATGTCGATTTACTATGATAGGAGGTTTTTACATTTACAGATGTTGCTAGCGTTCCCATATCCCTCTATTTCAGAAACTAATTGTGATGCTAATTGATTGCGTTGCCTGTCACATTTGACCCAGGCTCGCCCGCGCTAATTGGTCGCGCTAGCTGTCACGTTTGGACGAAGGTTAGGGTTGGGGCCAGCAAAGTGACGTCATAATTTTGCATACTAATTACTTCCAACGCCAAATTAGACTTGCATACTAATTACTTCTGTCTCCAGAGTGGGGTCTTTTACTACTGAAGCAAGATATATTTTATGTTAACTCGGCAAATCTACTGAAGGATCTGCAATGGTCCACGCTCGATGTAAGACGTCATAGGTTGAAGAGAGTTTTGATGTAGAAAATTTTTAATGAGCAGTCCGAAGCAAGTACATCTTACAGAAAAATTTATAAAAATTAAAGATCTTAATAGAGAATATAATCTTCGAAGTAATGATATTGATCTAACACTTCCAAAACATAAACCTTCTGAGGCGAAAAATGCATCCTCGCTATACCAATTTAATTAAACGCAGTATGTCCACTATACTAGAGACCCAGAGGCTAGGATGTGTATTAAGATAGTTTGTAAGTAGTAACCCACCGGGCACACGACGTTGTTTCAACGTTGAAATTTGGTAGAAAAAAGGTCGCGACGTCGACAACCTAATGTCTACGTTGCTCTGACGTTGTTTTACAAACATTGGTTCAACAGCAGCCAACAGACGTTGAATTAACATTCATTCATGGTTAAATGTACGACGTCGATTTGTGAACCAATCTCAACGTTGTTTTAACGCGGATTCAACGTTGAATTATGGTTGACGAGATTGGCAACCGAATTTCAACGTTGTTTCAACGTCGAAATAGTAACGTCGATCCAATTTGCATATTCAACCCTTATTCAACGTCTATCCAACGTCTGGAAGGTTATTTCCAACGTTGATTCAACGTTGGATAAACGTCATTTTGCCCGCTGGGAAGTAAAACGCGCTCCATCTGAAAATCAACTCATTGTAATTTACAAATATGTTGTGTATGGCCAGCGTGGTTATATAAATTTTTAAGTGGGTAAGTAAGTAAGTAAGTAAGTAAGTAAGTAAGTAAGTAAGTAAGTAAGTAAGTAAGTAAGTAAGTAAGTAAGTAAGTAAGTAAGTAAGTAAGTAAGTAAGTAAGTAAGTAAGTAAGTAAGTAAGTAAGTAAGTAAGTATAAGTAAGTATAATTCTTTAATGCCTCCATATTTGAAGATACGAATATTTACAATTATAAATAATTAATTAAAATTAGTTTAAAAAAGACAAACAACACACAAACTAGTAAATAGTTTCTGAATCCAAATAAATGTCAATGTAACTGGATATTGTTATTATCTTTGAAATAGACTCAGCAACTATAATATAAAAATTTTGTACTTGGTTATTATTATGTCCCTCCATGAATTGCATGTTTCCAAAGATCGTCTGCATCAAATTGTCCTCATCTAACGAATTAATGTTTGCTACGAATTCCACTGGAAAGAAATCTGTGATACGTTCCCATAATTTTGTTCTTGCTAATTGTGTTTCACAACAATGCAACATAGCATGTTTTACAGGATTTGTGTAGTAGTTACCACAAGACGTACAATGAAATTGTGTTTTTTCTCCAGCAAATCGCACACCATTCACATAGAATGACCCACAAAGAACTTTAACAATAATTGCCACTTGGTTGGCCATCTCGCTGCTTTCGAGAGCAAACTGCAGCCACATGTTACGCATTGGTTCTTTTACACTTGGCTGTATAATCCTAATTGTTTATAACGTTGCGTTTTGATCTTCCAAAACTCAATCTCCGCATGATTAATATTCTCAATTACTGTTTTCTTCCATTCAGATTTGCTGGGAAAATTTCCAGACTGCAGAAAATTGTCCATATACTCCCACAAGCAATACTTCTGTAAGATTCTAACTAAATCTGGTACAAAACCAGTGATTTTGTTCGGATTCCATCT